TCACTGAAAATCTTGAAAAATATCTTGGAATTCCTCTTATACATGAAAAAGCTTTCGAGCTTACCTTTGCTCCTCTTCTTAATAAAACACATTCCCAACTAGCTAGCTGGAGAAGTCGTCATGTTAATATTGCTAGAAAATCTGTGTTAATCAAGTCTGTCCTATTTGCTTTTCCTAACTATGTCATACAAACTATACTTCTACCCGACAACATCTTGACTGAATTGGAAAAAAATATCTAGAAATTTTCTTTGGGACTTTTCAGATGGAAATATAAAGCCTCACCTTCTCTCTTAGGACCGCATTATTTCTAATAAAAAGGAAGGTGGACTTGGCATTAAGAAACTCAAGAGTCAAAATATAGCTTATATCATGAAACTTTGCTAGGGTCTCATCTCAAAACTCAATTGCCTTTGGGTATGAGTATTGCATGACAAGTATAAATGTAATAAACCCGTTATCCCTATGGTAATTAAACCCAGCTCTTATTCTTTTACTTGGAGTAGTATATGCAAAATCTAGGATAAGTTTATATCTCAGGTCGTTGGAAAGTGGGTAATGGAGATCAAATATCCTTTTAATATGATAAATGGTCCCCTTTACTTGACCCTCTTGTCAAATATGCTTTCCACAATGCTGACCCTGTTCTCCACGCTTGTGTCTCAGACTTCTGCAATATTGTAGGTGGATGGCATTTTGATCTCTTAAAGCGCTATCTTCATCTTGACGTGTTAAGACAGATTGTACTTGTCTAACCTCTTACTCAACAAGGTGAAGAAGACACTATTATTTGGAGGGCATCTTTTGATGGAAGCTTCTCCATTAAATCCGCCTATAAAGCATTGGAGATCCAAAATAATGAAAATAAATCTAACATCTGGTCTAAGATTTAAAAGTGGCCTACCTACGAGAAAATTAAATATTTCCTTTGGAAGGCTGCTTGGGATAGTCTTCAATCCAATTACACTCAACGACGGTCATGTCCCTTGGGATGTAACACTTCTGAATCCTTTATACACATTTTGCTGGATTGTAAAGAAGCCCAAGAGGTTTGGAAAAGATTAGTAAATCCTTTATATTTTAACACCTTCTTCTCTCATAATGTGTAAGATTGGATAACTTGGAACGCTAGGAACGAAGTTGGCAGTTAAATAACTAGAAAAATCCCCTGGTAAAGGCTATTTGCTAAACTTGGTGGAATATATGGAAAGCCAGGTGCAGAAAAATCTATTCTAAAGATGATTTTTTTGACTAATGACACTGCCTTCTCCAACACGCAACAGATTATAAATGACCTAAAGCTTCAATCCAAGATCAATAAATTAAACAACAATAGTGCTAGATATGAAGCTAAATGGAGTCCTCCTGAACTTGGTTGGGTTAGACTCGATGTGGATGGCTCTGTCAATACTTATGATGCTGCTTCATGTGGAGGCATTATTAGAGATGACAAGGGTAAATGGATCAAGAGATTCTCCATGAACCTTGGTTATTACCCCACCATTACAGTCGAGCTATATACAATTTTAGAAGGCCTTAAACTCTATTGGAATGAGAAGCTCACTAAAATTAATGTCCACTCCGACTCTTTAGAAGCTTTATCACTCATTAACAATGGATGTTGTGACTCCTACCCCCTCTCCTGGATTGTCAAAAATATTAAAGATCTCTTTATGAGAGATTGGACTGTTATTTTTGACCACGTTTATAGGAAAGCAAATAACTGTGCTGACCTCCTAGCTCATAAGACTCCTTATGAAGATTTTGATACCTTTATCTTTATCAACCTGCCTCCTGATTGTATAAGCCTCATGGCTTCTGATATGACTAGATTTTAATCTTTTTACATTGTTTTTACTAAAGCCTTGTACTAAAAAAAAGGCAACATTCTCTGTTAATATTAATCTTTTAGCTACTCTTTAATCTAGACTCCACAACATCAATAATGTAATACATGTTATGCTAAGTTAAAACCATCCTTTGTGGTTATAAGCTATTCATTTTTTATTCTTACATTTTAATTTTATCCTTTGGTGGCTTATTTAATACTAAACTTTCCCTTTTCTTTAACTAGATTTTTAAGCACTTATTTTATTCGAAGTATTTAATATTTATCATATATACTACCATGCAACACGAGTAAATAACTAATTTATAGTCAATTTTCTTCCCAATAGCTCCGGCTAGTTTTCATTCATAGATCCTAGTTTTTGTTCCAACAAAAGTCTTAATTAAGTTGTATTTGTCAGTTTCAGTTTTTGCTTGAATATCTTAGACCATATAGACTATCGTCTTCCTCTATTATAAGCACAATGCAAGGCTCAATAATTAAAACCATCGTAGATTTACATAAAGTTTGAAGTGATTTATATTATTTATATTCTTTCTTATGCTTATCCCTAATAAAGTAGTTATTTATCTTTAAATTAACCTATTGTTTCATATTTACCTCTATTTATTAGGATGTTTGACCTTAAAATAAATATAAAGTGATTTATTTAATAATTTTTTTTAAAAAAGATAAATATTACATTTTGAAAGACTAAAAATACTTTAAATTTTTTAATATCCAACCCTTAAAAAATATTTTACATTTTTTAAGGAAGAGAGTATTCCCCATTCTTATGCTATAAGGATTTAATGGAATAACTTTACATAAATTAAGAAATTAAGTTAAAATTAGCCAATAATTTAAAATTTCAAAATTATTCTCAATGAATTTCACTGATTAGAGGGGAATGTTTGGTTAATTAGGCAATTGTTCAGTTGGTTAGTAAATAATAAAACATAATATTTAAATAAAAAATTAATATTTTAGACAGAATCATATTTAAAGACACTTATAATAAAAATCAGGGAAGGGATAATTTATGAACAATATGACTTTCTTCTATTACCATGAAACCTATGGTTTACATAGATTCTTAAATGAATTAGTGTATCGTTCATCATAATTTATGAATGGTATGATAATCTTTATATTATATTATTATATTTTGAGTGATATTTAAGTTTTGAATTCTGGACTTTCCAATCAAATCTCCACGAAGAGTTGCTTGACATGGTTTGCCCACTGATTAGCTTTCAGATAACACAATCGATTTATACTTCAGAAATAAAAAAAGTAGTCCCAGTGGCATGTAAATTTAGCGGTCTTACATGGCAAAACGAAAAGAAATTGCTATGCTAACTTGATTTTTTTTTTTTTTGCTGGCAAAAAAAGATATTATTTTTTTCATTTATTCCTCTTATTTTGACTTCACGTGTACCATAGATGCAATCTTTTGAATTTGCTTTCCGCCTACTCCTGTAACTAAAAGCTTTTTTTTTTCCCCTTTTCCACAGCATTTGTATAACCTTAATTTATTTGGGTATTTTTTATTTTTCAAATATTGTGGGACTGCATGAGTTTGAACTATGAACCCTAATCAGTATATTAACTATTACAACTACAAGTTCTTCAGGTAGAATTCACCCTTAAAAGGCGCCTTATAAAAAAAGAATATTCAACTGACTTATAAATCATATTTCACCAATGTAGCCTTCCCATGTAAAACTCATACCATAGACCACCCCTCAAGAGGGGACATCCATGACTACTTATGCTCTACAGTGTTTCACTCGACCGGTTGATCAACTCCTTCATGGAAGACCCTTTCTGCGAACGAAATGTCACAATCATATGTCCTTCGAGTAAAACTCGCCCCCAATATGTACCCTTATAGGGCAAGGGTGCACAATTGACTTATAAGCCACACTTCACACACCAATGTGACCTTTCGATATGAGACTTATAACATTCAAAATTAATATTATTAATTTCTCATATTATTAGGACATTATTTATTTCAAATTCCTACGTAAATTATTATTATTGTATTAGAGTACACTGGAGTAAATAGGAAAATGCTCGTTCAATGTAAACAAACTTTCAGAGTCCATCAATTTATCATAGATGGACACACATACACATCATTATTTAATTAGTTAACCTTCAAACACTTGTTGGAATATAATTACATTAATATGCTAGTGTTATATCTTGTATCAGTTAATTAATTTATTATTTAATTAGCATTACGAAATCCACAGATTGTCTGTGGAAAAAAAATCATATTTAGCTTAAAACTATTCCTTTAGGAGAAAGAAATTGGTCTCTTCCATTAATTGTCGTTTTTCTAATCAAGAGGGTGAGGAATTTACTTTCAATATTATTCTTGCATTAATTCTGAGCTGTTGGTGGATCTAATTGCTTTGGTCAAAACAATTATACATACATATATATATATATATATTCAATTTATAGTTAGTAAATTAGATTTGTAATATTCATAAATCATATTTAACTATAATACTGGAATTAAACTTGTGCTAGTAGAAACAATACATACATGGGATACATCCATGAGTTCAATTGAGCTTAATAATATTAAAATCTGACATAATCAGATAGTTATATCAATGAAAATTACATATCCAATTCATTCCACGCAGTACGCACACATAAATTCATTTTATATTCAGTAGTAATTATTGAACAGTAGAAGAAAACTTTAGAGGGAGAGAGAGAGTAAGTGCGCGCGCGCGCGCCAATTACACTTAAATTTGCGAAGCAAGTTTCTTGTATACTGGGCTAAATAATACTTTTCATGTTAATATATGATCAAATCGATCTAGCTATATATATATATATATAGTCTTCCCTGATCGATGACTGAAGCACGTGAGAGACCCCATTTTTGCAGGAAAATTAAACTTTGAACAATTTTTTCTAGTAGCTAGCTGCATGTGATTGTGATTAGCACATTCCGAGGAAAATAACTTTAGCTGTTTTTCTTCGATTAAGTCACGAGATTACTTAATTGTTCAGTAACATGTTAATATATTGCAGCCGCCACGAATCTGGCTTTTGCTTGTGCACGTAAAAAGTAGTGAAACTCTAAAATTTTATATATTTAAAATAACTCACTCTTTTGCATATATAAAATCCCCGAATTGACTTTTCAGAAATTAAATTCATATATTTCTTTTTTTTCATAACTAAAATTCGTACATTACATGACCAAGAACTGAACCTTATTCATGAGTTGCCCTTCTGATCATCGAACTTGAATCAGAATATTGCATGTTTACAAGAGTCAAATTAAATCTCTACTTACATAATACAGATGAAAAATGAAACACAAATATACATCTCGCCTTAATTATACAAAACCAAACTGATGGTAAACAAAAAAGAATCACACTAGCACAGGCCCGTAATTCTGTCAATATCCTTGATACATAATAATCCCAATAATATTATTATTGTTCTTTAGAAAAGCAAAAGCACGTAATTATAAATATGGCAATAACAATAACCGTATATATATGTCTTGGTGTGTGTGTGTATATAAGATATTTAATGAACCACCAAATTAAATCTGGCTTCCCTTTATTGTATGTATAACCTCGAACAATATAATTAAAATTAATCCATGATGAAGAATAATAGACTAGGCATAATTGCACATGCCATAGACACAGAATTCACCGAGCTCACACCTGTGGTTGCAGGCTCCACAATGTCTCTTATCAAAAGACAATTCAACACATTGTCCTCTGCAACAAGTTTGAGTGAACTTACACTTGTTCTTGCACGCTCCACAATTCTTGTCGTCATATTGCAAGTCCACGCACTTGTTGCTGCAGCACGTCGAATTCTTGCCTGGTTCTAACAAGTAGCAGATCTCGTTGTCCTTCTTGCAGTGATCTGCAGCGTTAGGGTTCCTCGCCGCCACCGACACCGGGTTGTTCGCCACCAGGAACCTGCTCACCCTCTTGGAAGGTAAGGCCAAGTCCATTTTGTTGCTGTCATGAACATCGTTGGTCTGAAATGATGATGATGACAAAGAACTTGGTTGTTTATTATTCAGAGTGATGGAGAGAGACAAAACCATGGTCAATGCAACGAAAAGCAGGAGGAGTCCTTTGAAGAACGCCATGGCTTTGCCCTCGAGAGAGATGATTCGAGAGCTAGAGAGATGGAGTGTGATGAGTTTGTACTGCTGGGCTGTGATGCAGAATGATGATGATGATGATTTGAGAGTGTGTGTAGAAAATGGAGGCAAACAGTAAGGGTTTATAAGGAAGGGATGAAGGGAAGGGTTGACGCGGGAAAGATGGGGAAAAGGTGGTGAGCGAGGGGGGTTGCACGAGGAAGAGTAGTGTGGTGGGAATTAATGCTATTACTTATTCTATATTCACTGTTTGCGAATTAAGAAACTTCATTCAGCTTCATGAGCTGTGGGCTGTGGCAAGTATATATATATATGACCACTCCATTAATTATTTCATTCAGGGTCTATTTTACCCCTCATCTACGTGTGACGTGTATGTGTTTTTGTTATTTTGGAATAATATTATACATGGATGGTGAGATTACAATGTGGAAATACCAGTTAACCCGCTCCATTAAATCAATAAACCGTTAAACCAAATGCCTTGACCATTTTAATAAAATATTTTGATTATAATCGGTTTGGCTACCATCTAACTTTGATTTTGACCATTATTCTTAAATCAGTATCTTGACCAGTTTAATATCCAGTTTAATTTTTAATACCTTAAATCATCAAAAGTTAATTGATTAGTGTTGGTATTAGTAGAGAGGGCTATGTTCGTTTAAGCACAACAAGGTCTTGAATTTGGGCTTATATGAATGCAGAAAATGTTTTTGGAAGAACTATTCTTTATTAAAATTAAAAATATTTAAATCTAACCCAATTAAATAGCTATATAAAAAATCTAAATTTTGAATTAGATTCATGTAGAATTTCATATTGAGTTGAGCCCCTATAATTTAATTTGTTTGTTGATCACTGAAAGTTAAAATCTTTGAGTTTTTTCTTAAAAATTGAAATTAAGAACTTTTATACCTTTATTTAAAGAGTATATAATTTTAGAATTAATTACAAATCTTTATAACTTAAAAATGTTTTATTAACTATTAAATCAATTTTTTTGTCAAAACTCAACAGTATTAAATCAGTTTTTCTAGTTCAAAAGTGTTTTTGTTTTGGAAAAATTAATTTTTCATTAATAATTTCAACATTCATGAATTAGTATATCTAATGTATCAAATTATAAAGGCTCAACTTAAATAAAATAAACTACAAATCCAATTTAAAATTGAGAAAAACTCTAAAGATCTGTTAGTTTATTTTTTTCATGCTTTCTAATAATGATAGTTAATAGAAGATCATGTGCATGGAAAAAATTAACCCCCCCATTGTCAATAGTCAATGCTCAAATCCAAAATTATTGAATCTTGCAATTAAATAATTAACCTCATGTTTATTACTTGCAATAAATCATTCTTTTGTTAATTGACTAGATATTCATAATGGACTTTTGTAGATTCTCAATTAATGCCACAAAAGATAACCAAAAAAAAAAAAAAACAAGTGACCAACTTGTCATTCACAATGAATGATTTCTGTAAATTTTCAATTAACGTTATGAATATTTTTAAATATATTTTTTTAATTTTTTAAGTGGTTTACCTGTATATTGGCAGTAAATAATTAAGATTTACAGTTGATTCTCATAAATTACCAATTAATATTACAAATAATTCTAAGTGTATTTTATGAATTTTCTAATTGATTAATTGCATTTTTTTAATTACAAGTAATATGATTGTCTGTTATTAAAATTTTAATAATTTAAGGTTTGTAATTGATATTAATATTCTTATAGGTTCCTGATTGTCATTTCTCCGATTAATTAAGTCCAAGGGTATTAATGACATTCCAGCATCTTAATTCACATGCCAAGCCACTGGGCGCACAAGGAACAATGATGAAGACACAGTGGCCGACCTGAGAGAAATAAGGCACGTCGCTGGGAGAAGCAAAGCCCGAAGAGCCATAAATGAACAAAGAAACAGCTTTATCACATCAGACACAAAAAACCAGCTGCTATTAACACAAGCTTGGCGAAATCTGAAGCACTGATGCAGAAAGCTTGGCTTCAAAGGCTTGGCCTTGATTTTATTTATTTTACCAAAATTAAACAATTAAGTTAACTAGGCTTCAAGAATATGATTAAAGCCTTACTAATCGACCACGTGTCTGTGTGAAACGTACGTACCTTAATGAAAAAGACTTGCAATTCAATTAAAGTACTACGATGTCGCCATGCAATTAGGCTGATCATCATATATAGCTTTTGACCCAAATAATTCCTTCCACACGTTTCATTATTGTTCTCCGTCATTTTTTTATTGTTTGACTTAGGCCCTCGGGCTTACAATAATGCATTAATGCTTTCATTTTTATTTTCATTTTTTTGTCTTTTTTTTCTTTAAAAATTCTCAACTGCTGGCACCTATTCTGATAATTTTTAAAGGAAAAACATAATATTTGGTTCCTATAATTTATCAAATTTTATTTTTAGTCTTTATAATTTTTTTCAATAATTTTAATCCCTATAAAACTATTAAAAAAATAGAAACTATAGCTAAGGATCTAAAAAACAAATGTCACCTAATATTTTTTAAATTAAAGAGATTGAAAATATTTGAAAAAAATTACAGGGACTAAGAACAAAATCTGATGAAACTATAACAACCAAAAATTGTGTTTTTCCATTTTTAAAAGCCAAAAATTAGGTGCAAATTTATATAGCTTTCTTATATAACTATATTTTAGCCCGCCTGAGGCACAGAGTATTTGTTGGATTTTTTAAGGGGTTTAACTAAATAAAAAATATATATTGGCTTTATCTCTTCACTTGGTGCCTATGTACAATTTTTTGTGACCTTTTATATAATTTTTTAGGACTTTACTGTAATTTTTTCAATTAACTTATAGTCAAATTAACACGCTATATTGTAAAGTAGGACAACACCACTCCATTTTTAGGAGCGATATTGTACCGCAGTGATTGGAGAGTATACCTAATACACTAAAAAAAATTAATGAGTGGATTAATATTTTAATCCATTGTTAAAATAAATTATGAGGGCTTACAAACCTGAGCTTCAACCCAACTAATGAAAGCAAAGCTTTGAGGGCCCAAGCCATAAATGGGCTAAAACAATAAAATTTAGCCCATTAGAGTTAGGGTGGCCCATTTCCGGCGATCTTAATATAAGTATCAATTTATATAGGTTGATTACTTTTTTTTTTTAAATATCAATTATGTTCATAACATAATTGGCATCTAATTTTTTATCAATAGTAAAATACTCAAATATAATCAGAAAAAAATTAAATAACATGGACTGTATGATCTGTTTTTTTTAACACAAAAACCTAACCCATGCACTGTGTGTAGTTAAAATTTTTCTCTACTTTTTAGATATTTTTTTTATTTCTTAAAAATATTTTTTTGTATACTAAACATGTATGTATATTTTAAAATGACAAATGATAAGCATTCAGATCATGAAAAGGTATGAGTAATGCTAAAGTCACCTTTGAGAGTGATTGCTTCACTTTCGTTTTATGTCTTCCAAAAGGCCAATCTACTCTAAGTGATTGGATGTGCAGAGATATCATTGAAGATATTATAGCTCTTCTATCATCTAATGATGTGTTTTCTATTTCCTTTGTTCATCACAAAGGTAACCTTATAGCTGACTTTCCTGTTGCTTCAACTTATAAGATTGTGAACCTGATTGGGTGGATAAACACACCATCATTTTCTTTGTCACTTGTTCTAGCAAAGGAAGCTGAGAGCTCTATCTGTTTTGCAGTAGACCCAAGTTCATCTTCTGCAGTAGACCCAACTTATAGTATTTTTTTTTGCTTTTCAGCTTTTGAGTTGTGTCTTTTGGTGTTTGCATCCTCTTCGTACCTTTGTGTTTTGCTCAATAATGTATCCAGTGCTGCTGGCCCAAAAAAAAAAACGGGAAGGCAAAGTTAAATTCCAACAGGAAGAATGATAAAGAAATCTTAAAAAACCATGTAAGGGTAGCGTAATGACTATCTTACTTTATTCCTTAAGTATGTGGTGGGAGATTGAATTTCTCATTCATATAAATGGAGAGCACTCTATAGCCAACCGTTTGCTCTCTTGTAGGAGATCCTGTGACAAAGGGATTAGTTACTGCTATTAGCGGTGAATACCCTAGATAACTAAAAAAAAAATCCTAAAAAATCAATAAATTCAAGTTAGATATCAAGTATCAAACTCTAAAAATTTATAAGTTTATCTCTCAATTTTGCAACTACATTGTGACGAATTTGCAAATTTTTTTTATATTTTAACATAATAGAAGAATAAAAAATTATTTTTTCTGTTAAAATTTAAAATATAAATTGTAAATTTTTTACAATAAAGTTATAAATTTAAGAGATTGAATTATAAATTTTTTAAATTTAATATTTAAAAACCAACTTAAATTAATTGATTTGATATTTCTTTGTCATTGTCCCATTCCAATATGCATCAAGACTTCAAGACGCATTGCCCTTCCCTCAGAATTTGAAGATTAATGGTCACGGGTCCTACCCCACCTCCTCTCTCTTTCAGTCTTTCTCTTCTCACATGGCCTATATCCAGAACATATTCCCTCGTGTCCTTATCATCAAGAGTTTTCAATTACTTTACTAAAAATGAAGTAATGATAGTTTAGTCATTAAATATGCTTTAAAATGAAAAGAATTTCAATTTCACCTTATTAAAAATAATAAGAAAGAAAGATACAAAATACAATGAACCATAAAATCAAGTTTACAATAGGAGTAAAATTAAAAATATTAATAAATAACTCTCAATATATTTTATATTAAAGATCAAATAACCACTTCGAAAATGTCCTAGGATAAAAATTGGCGGGAGTATGCGATAAAACACATGGCATGGTGGGGTTAAATTTGAATTTGGAGGAGTTATGAATGTATCTGTATGTATAACTAATCTATCTAATACTTCTTCTAATTTTATTTATAAGATAGAGTTAGAATATTTTTTTAATCTTATTTATAAATCACATTATTAATTTTTTATTATTGATTTTCCCTTTTACTCTCCATCTGGGGCAAGAAAGTATATCGTTAGATAAGGTTGAGAACTTATTAAATTTTTACATAAGGTCAATAAGTTTTCAAATTTTTTTTAATTTTAATAAAATATGTTAAAAGTAACTTATCAATGAGATTATAGAAGTACTCATTACATCTAATATATAAGCTTTTTAGAATATAAGGATCATTTTTATCAATCATTTTGCATAAAAAGCATAATCTGTTAATTACTTTATTCTTATTTTACTTTTCTCGTAATTTTTTATGAGTAGGGTAAGAGATTGCATATGAGAGATAATTATTTTATAAGTGATACATTTAATAACGATATAATGAGAATCTCATTCCTTTTAAAATAATATAAATAATTTAACTATATTTTCACCTTATAATAAAGTACTTTCTCATTTTAAAAATATAAAATATTTTTAATTAAATTACACCCCAATAAAATAATTAATTATCTTGTAATTAATACAATCTTTTCATATTTACTTTTAAAAAAGGTGTTTTGTTTTCAAATAAATAAAAAGTGACTTATTTATTAGAGACACTTTTAATAAAATCACATTAATTATTTTAAATTTTATATTTTTAAATAGAGGAGTAATTAGAAGGGACTAACACATGAGGGGGAGTATTTTTTTTAATTATATATCTGCAATAGTTTCTCTAATTAAAGAAGCACAATAGCTTGTAGATATTTGTGGGCCACATTTTTTAAAAAAGAAATTTTAAAATGAAAATAGAGAAAGAGGAGGGCCGGATATTAAATGGCATTTGTTTGTTTGTTTGACTAAATTCTGGACCAACTAATTCGTATTTATTGACATGACAGGCATGAAACAGCCTGTGTTCATTCCTCTTCCTTTAGCTTCTGTTAATATCCTTTTTTTTTTAATTAACGTCACTCTCTGATAATTATAAGCCTTATATATATATATATATATATATATTATAACTTCCTATCTTCCTTCAAAGAACCAAAAAAAGAAAAACCTTCCAATCTCTCCTTCTCTTGTAGAGTGTCACGTTGTGAGGAATTGATGATGACAAAAATATGTGCCAGTATTCATGATGAATCATGAAGTTTATTATACTGCACGCTTTAAAAATTCACATAAAGACGATGGAATTGACATTGACGAAATTAATGTTGCCGACATGCATGTACTTTAACAATGTTAAATTGTTAATCCCTTTACTAATGTGTTAGCATGTTTTTACCATGTCAACAAAGGGGTTAGTAGAGTTATTAGAAATTCTTATATGAATTCAGAGTATTATATTATGCATGGTATTAAAAACCGAACCGGATCGGTCCGACCGGTGACCTGGCAATCCAAAGACCAGTCCAGTCCGATTCATATGGCCAAAGTGGCCTCATGTAACCCGGGTTAACTCGAGTGACTCGAAATTAACTCGGGTAAAACTGCACAACCCCCCATTTTCGGCTGGTTGGGCGGTTATTATTTTTTAAAGAAACTAATCCCCAAAACGACGTCATTTTGGGGGTCATCCTATTAAAAAAAATTAAAAAAAGAAATCAGACGCGGAGACGCCCTAAGTCTGTGCCACACTGCCTCTACATCTCAATCTCGCGGCGAAGCCATAGCTGATAGGAATTCGAAGGTCGAACGCATTTCACATTGTCTCAGTTCGAAGTTCGTCAGTTTGCCCTCGTCTCATCTCATCTCTGGCTGAATCTGGATGCTAAACCCTTGAGTGACCCAAATCAGCCCTAACCTTTCGCAAGAATACCCAGGATGTTCATCAGCTTCTTTGCTTGCCTCTGTCTCTATCTGATTTTCTCTTCATCCATTGATATGGCATTGCAGTTTGTGTTCGGATCCACCTCCTTCGGTCTATGAGAAGCCATCTCTGCTAATACTCAGGTAATTATAACCTTTTTCTACGACAAAATCTCTTGCGATTTGCTGGTTTTCTCAATAAATGAGCTACGGATTTTGGATGCAATCACCAAATTCTGATGTTTGTTGTTTGAATTTATTTCACATAACACGGATTTGTGTTGAATGATTTTCTCTTAGCTCTTTTAAATTTCAAGTTCAACTAAATTTTCCCTTCTATAGGTCTTTATTTTCTTTGTCATTTTAATGTTTACATAATTGCAACTGCTTAAAATATATATAGTATTCCTTTAGTAGCATTCTATTGCAGATGTTTGCCATCAACACATGTCTGTTTCGATAAAATTGGTTCCCCCTTCCCTTTTCCAGCTGTCTTCTTTAGCTCTCTGGATCTTGCAAAAAGACAGTAGTTAGAAGTTGCAATCAATGTGATTCAGTATACATACATACAAAATAGCTGTTGATTACATATATGCATTCCTTAGGAAGATATGCATAGAGCATAGTGGAAAAGGGAAGGGGTATGCTGAGTATATGATCACTAAACTAATTTTGCTTTTTTTTTTTAGAGTTGTGCCTTTAGAGAGAGTGGTCAATCAATAAACATTTTTGTATGTATGCTGATTTGCTCTGGTTGTTGAAAATTAATTCGAGCTTTATGTTGCTCTTATTTGTGTACTATATTCTAGATTTCTAGCTGCTATGATTGCTCCGACTGCTCTGGTTTTTTTTGCATTGGATGTTTATTTATGTTGAAATTATCATAGCTTGCAGATTAAAGTTATAATATGGATATTGGAAGTAATTCTAGTAGTGATGGAACTGAGAATCATACCCGAATCCCACCCTTACTAGCCATAATGACTCCACATTTGGAACCCCATCAGTTCGTGAGAAAAAAGATCCTGCATGGGCACATGTTGCTTTAAGAAAAGAGGGTAATAAAAATGTGTATACATGTCTTTATTGTGCATTGAGTTATAAAGGAGGTGGAATAAATAGATTGAAGCATCATCTTACTGGTATAAGTGAAAATGTAGTTTCTTGTAGTAAAGTTCCTTTTGATGTTCGTTATCAGATGCAAGAATCATTAAAAAGTAGGAAAAAGAGAAAGCTTGTTGATGTACAAGCAGACATGGAGGAACATGTGTCTAATGCTAATGAACCCAATACACCCGCTCCATCTAAGTCAATTCCTAAGAGTAGTGCCAGTAAAAAAAACCTCCTACTATGCCAGTTGAAAATTATTTTGCCTCTAGGACAACTTCAGGTTCCCAACCAGGCATTAAGAGTGCATTTGTAACTAAAGAAGCACAACACAGTGCAAAAATGGCCATTGCTGAATGGGCTATCATCAATTGCATTTCATTTAATGTATTAGATTGCCCATTCTTTCAAAAAGCTGTAGATGCTATTACTTCAATTGGGTCGGGGTTTAAGGGTCCTACTGCTTATGAATTTAGAGTTAACTTGTTGAATGATTGGAAAAAAGAATATCAGCTACTTATTGAGAGTCATCGATCTAAATAGAAAACTTATGGATGTACACTCATGGCTGATGTTTGGACAGATGTGAGGCAACGAACTTTGATAAATTTTCTTGTCTATTCTACACATGGCATAGTATTTGTGAAATTTGTTGATACTTCTAATTTAGTGAAAGATACCAAGATTTTATTCTCATTATTTTCTGAAGTGATTGAGCGGGTTGGTCCCAAAAATATTGTATATGTGATGACTGATAATACTACTAATTATGTAGCTTGTGGCAAGTTGATTAAAGAGAAATATAAAAGTATTTATTGGTCACCTTGTGCTGCTCATTGCTTGAATCTTACTTTGAAAGACATTGCAAGTATGTCTCATGTGTCACAACTTGCAACAAAAGCATCAAAAATCACTGTGTTTGTTTATAATCATATGGTCTTCCTATCATGGCTCAAGAAAAGAAAGGGTTGGAAAGAAATTGTGCGTCCTAGTGTGACAAGGTTTGCTACAACATTTATCATATTGCATAGCATATATATGCACAAGCATGACTTACAAGCTTTAATCACTGATAAGCATTTTGTGGATCACAAATTATTAAGGACCAAAGCTGGAATAATTGCTAGTGTCATCATATTAGATAATCAGTTTTCGAATGAATGTCTTGAAGTTGTGAAGATTGTGTCTCCTCTTATAAAGTTGTTGAGAATTGTTGATTCAGATGAGAAGCCTTCTTTGCCTTATGTTTATGAAGGCATGCAAAGGGCAAAAAAAGCAATTAAGGCAGTCTTCACTAATAAGAAAGACCAATACAAGCCTTACATAGATATAATCCAAGCCCGATGGGATAAGCACTTGAAGACTAATCTTCATGCAGCAGCATATTTGTTGAACCCTGCCTTCTTGTATGATGATGACTTTGTTCACAAAAGAAGGTTAATGGATGCTATGCTTTCAGTGTTTAAGTCAACTGAAAATGAAGATGTTGATTATATTGTGATAATGAAACAGTTGAGCTTGTATCGTGATCGTAAAGAATCTTTTGATAAAGCTTCATGTCATAGAGCAGCACAGAAGCTAGACCCTTGTAAGTGTTAATATTTAACATGATCATTGTAATTTTATTTATCATATAACATATAACTAATTGTCTTTTATTTACAGATGAATGGTGGTCGTTTTATGGAAGTTCTGTTCCAGAGTTGCAAAATCTTGCAATGCGTATTCTTAGTCAAACTTCTTCCTCTTCTGGTTGTGAGAGAAATTGGAGCTTGTTTGAATGCATCCATACCAAAAGAAGAAATAGATTAAAACATCAAAGATTAAATGATTTAGTCTTTACAAACTACAATCTACGATTGAAGAATAGGTAATAAAAATAAAAGTTATGAATGTTTTTAATAAATAAAAATTTTATTACTATCTCATGGTAGATATATACTTATATTTGATTGTTTTGATCTCATTAAAAGAGCCAATTGAAGAAAAAGACAAGTTTTGATCCAATTGATTATGAATCTATTGATAAATTGGACTTTTGGATTGCTGAAGAGGAACAAGAGCCAGCTCCAGAGTTTGATGCTGATGATGTCACTAATTTAGAAAGTGCTATGCATAATGAGAATGTTGTAGCTTCATCAACTTCTGAGAGAAATAATGAAGGTTCATACTTACTAACATGTCTATATTGCATAATATATAATAATTTTTTACACAATGATTAATGTTAATTTTTGTCATCAATAGGTGAAGAAGATATGAATATTTCAGAGCATTCACATTTAAATGATAATGTTGGAAGTGGTTCTGATTTCTCTCAATCATCTCCTAATGTTTCAATCCTTACTTTCAGAGATTTGAATGAAATTAATAAGGATTTTGGTGTTGATTATTATTAGCTTTAGACTTTTTGATGATTAAAGGATTGTAAGGATGAATATTTTAAATGTTGTGTTTTTAATGATGTTTTAATGATTATCTTAGACTTGTATGTGATATTATATAAGATATTAAATCTTAAAGAATTTATTTTATTTAAATCATATTATTTTATTATATTCGGTTTGAATCCGGGTTAACCTGTGGTTGAACCCCTGACCCCCAATCTTAACCGATTCAATAGCCAGTTCGATTTTCAGTACCTTGATATTATGTCATTCATGATTTGTCTAATAAAAACATGTGCTGTGTTAATATCAATTCAATCAAATAAAAGTATATATATTATTATTTTTAATGACTTTATTTTTTTGAATTTCTTTTCATGCCTTTTCTCTTTTCATCATCATTCATAATAGAATAAATTTATATTTACAATTATCTTATATGTCATGTTTTGTTTGGATAGATCATGAATGATATAGTGCATCAAGTTCGTCTAATAATTTCCCATAGAGTTATAGCTAGCCAGTGCTAGCTCATGGTTTTTATGTGTATTTTTAAAATTATAAGGACTAATATTACAAATTGATCGAATTAAAAGAAACGGAAAGGGAATAATGAATATAAAGTATAGGAACTAAAAACAATATTTAATCAAAGTATGGTGACATGTTGTTGTATTTTCTAAAAAATTATTTGTACACATATTAAAAAAGAACAATTGATGTATAATCGTGTGGTAGAAATACAATAGAAATAACAATATATCAACGGAATTTACAAAAGTAAACATAAACATGGTTTGATTATCTTTTGTTGCCACTTCCCAAGCTTGGGCTAAATTTAATTTAATTTAAGTAATAATAAAGTAGACTATTTTATTCAAAATCTGCAGTAATATAATTATTCTGGGCCAAATAGTTTATCTGTGCAGTGCTGAACCATAAAGGGAAATAATTATTATATTGATCAGGAGAAGAGGAAGCAGTTACAACTTAAAACATTAGACATTAATCAGTCCTAGAAATTAACCAAGCAAGATCGCAGTTTTTGCTTCGAAAGAAGTATATTTCTTGATTTGAAATATCATTTTCGATTAAATAAATCTAGGATTAGAATCCTTTTAGGAGGCTTACAATTAACGTATTCGCACTTTTTTCTTGTTACAATAAGAAGTGACAACAAACATACAACAGACATGCATGGACACATTACACGTACGCAAACGTTAAAAAAAAAAAAATTATAATGAAGCACAAGAATATATAGATAGCTTTTCGTTTTCATTTTTGGCCACGCACAAGACGAATGCAGCTTTATATCAATCCTCTTGTTCTCGTAGTCTGGTTTTCAAGGCAATCCGCCACCAAGCCCTCCTCCAGCTCCGGCTCCACCACCAAATCCTCCCCCGGCTCCACCGCCAAGCCCGCCGCCTCCTCCAAAACCTCCACCACCGCCACCTCCAGCTCCCCCACCAAGCCCACCGCCTGCACCTGCACCACCCCCGAATCCAGACCCTCCTCCGAACCCGGCTCCACCGCCGACTCCGCCACCTCCACCACCACCAAACCCACCACCACCTCCACCACCAAGTCCGCCACCAGCTCCCCCACCTGCACCAGCACCTCCTCCAAATCCAGCTCCTGCACCGCCACCTACACCTCCGCCGCCACCAAAACCACCGCCACCTCCTCCACCTAGACCACCACCACCATGGTGAAACAAGTTCTTCTGATCCTCAAACGAGCCATTGTCATTGGTCCCAGCGAGCTTCCTCGCAGCGTGGGAGGATGAAACAAGAGCACCAGCAAGAAACAGAAGAAGAAGAAGAAGCTTATTAGAAGCCATTTGAGAAAGATGGGTAGTGTATGTTGATGGATGATGAAGATGGCGAGAGAGTGGAAGGTATTTATACAGAAATGGCGAAGAAGATAAGTAGGGTTGATGAATGCCTTAAATGGATTCATCTTCTTAACTATGTAACGCGTTGATCAAATTAAATGCCTCCAACTGTCTCTTTTGAAAAAGCAATCGAGACAACCCAACCTGCTACACTGTCTCTGGACCCATGCACCTTTGAAAACTATGGATATATATACATACGTACTGTCATATATATATATATATATAGATAGAAAGCACAACGCAAAAACGTGCATGCAGTATATTTATTTGATTTAAGTTTAACTGAAGATATAGATTGGATCGGTTTTTATTACAAGAGGGCTCACATATATGGAATGTGTGTGCTAAGTGATTATTCAATTTACGAAGAATATGTTAGTAGTTGGCACTAATAGAGAAGATTATAGCTACTGAAGCAAGAGATTCTGAGTTTAAGTTCATATGAATGTAAAAAATAGAAACCTCCAGTTATTTTGAATTGGTAGGGTGAAAATGTGATGTAAAAACTTATAAAATATAAATCATATATGGATGAGAAAGTTTTGCACCACGTTCCCGCCAAAACGCGGCTATGTTATTTGGGGAAAATGACAAATATTTTTTTAATGGAAAAACAGCAAATACCTGTAAAAAAAAAATCATCAAGAACTCAAAGCTTAATAAGTATTTATGAATTGAAGGGGAAAGATTGATTCTTATTCTGTGGGGAAAGGGGGAGATTACTTAATGAGCCTACATTTCTGTTTGTGTACTCTGTGTTAGGGTTCCTGAAATTTAATGTTTGGTTTGGACAAGAGAATAACTATCAAGTCCCAAAAAATAAATTAATAACAGTTAGATTTTTAATAAAATTTTGGATTAGGAACTTCTAATGTACTTTTCTCTAGCGCATTTTAATTTGTAATGCTTCACATTCCCAACTTCATTTTTTTTGTAGATTATTAATTTTTGTGTAAATAAAAAACATTTTGATATCTTAAAATCTCCACCTTCCCAACATTTAGAATCTTTAAAATATCAAAATATCTCTTATTTTATATAAAAACTAATGATTCAAAGAAAAAAAATTGAGAAAGGATGGCATTACAAAGGACATTTTAAAAAAAAAGCATGTTATAGGTCAGCATCATTTCAAATAATTGCAAATTAAATTCAAAAATTTCAAGTACAAATAAAATATTTAAGTTATAAATATATAACTGTCATATTGCAATTGAAATGCCCCTTTGTAACTGTTTAAATTAATACTTGTAACTCATTATATTGTTGAAATTTTTTTATCAAAAACTTAATTATTGTTAATTTAATCTTTTAAGATTACCGTGATACTCTCTCACTTATCTCCGCGGAGTAAAGAGTGCCAGGTGGGTTTGAACTCTGAACATGCCTGTGCCGGTGGATTTTTAAGTTTATGGTCCCGCTTCATCAATGTCAACATATAGCCACCTATATCATTATGTACGTATTCAACAGATATGGACGTAATTTATAAAGAGAGAAGGCTAAGATTAAAGAGTAGGTTTCCTACGCTCCAATTATTGAGCTTGAGAACGTAATAACCGCTGTAATTTTATTTTTCTTCCTTTTTTCCAAAAGTGCAGGGTATTATAATGGATAAATAAGTAAATTGGTCTCTAAATTATAAATCTAAAAATGTTTAAAATTCTAAACTCATCTTTTATGAAACGTTCTTTTTTAACTTTTGAGAACAATGTAATTTAAATTTTATAAATAATAAAAGTTAACTTTCATAATACAATAACTGAAAAAGATATAAGACTAAAAAATTACATTAAATGATTCAAAAATTATAAATAAGGATCCAAAAAATTACAGAAAAAGATCAAGAAAAATTTGTTTGTTTTTTTCTGTAATTTTTGAAGTCTTTTTTTATTATTGATCAATTAACAATTAAAGTTAACTTTTATTAATGATAAAAGTTAGATTGCATCATTTTCAAAAGTTGAAGGAGAATATTACACACACAAAAAAAACTTAGGGTCCCACATACTTCTAGACCTATAATTTAGGGATCAATTTATTTATTTACCCTATTACAATTATGCTCCACATGAAGGAGAGCTTTACTTTCGTTTTGAAAATACTAATTGATCTTCTACCAAAAAACAAGCAATTGATCATGTTTCTATGCGTTAAATTGTACTGAACGTTTCATATTTGAAATTGATCATTTAAAAAAATTATAGTTATATTGATAATCTCTATCATTATTTAGTTTTTTTTATTTTATGACAAGTAATATTTCGATGATAATGATTTTTTTTATTTTATCAATACGTTATACAAAAAATAAAATGAATTGAACTGTTATTTTTCTATTTATTGATTATTGATGTGAGTGTTAATTATTTTTATTTTAAATAACTAATATAGTTTTTTAAAAGTTCTATATGATTTAATATTTAAAACTCTATATTTTGGTGCAAGTGTAAAGGGTTCAAATTTTTTTTTATTGTAGATAAATTCATTTAGTTTTGAATATGCAAATAAGCATTATAAACTTTTTTCTTTGCAATGTCTAAATTCAAATTATCAGATTAGATTTAAGATATTAGTCAGCTCAAACGAGAATAACTTTTTAAATTACATTTTTCGCATTAATATACACTTGAATTCAAGATTTTTATGTTTAAGTGGTTATATATAGTGTCCCGAACTCGGATTCGATACATGCGGCAACTATAGGTATCCATTACATGTGCACACATGTCATCATCCTCTATGCTATAAATTAAATAGTCAATGGCTTTAAGAAGTTTGATGCAAACGTAGGCACAAAACACTAAATCTCCTCTCTTAAACAGCATCCCATATATACAAGGCCACTCTGTTTGCAGGCATTCCTCTAATCTCACTCACGCCACTATAGATCTCTTCTACCTTCACTTCTAAGTTTGAATACACAGAACAGGGACTCACGTGATGCTTCATCCTATATTACTCTTGTCCATCTGTCCTTGAATCCACCACATTTTGAACGAAATTCACTCTCTTCTTCTGCCCCTTCTTCCTCTCTACTTCAAAACCTAGTATTTATATCAGAGGAATAAAGTAAAGAGCGAATCTTTCAAATTGATTGAGTGTAAATGCAAGTGAAGCAGATGAGGTTATGCTCACAAGAGGGCAAGATCACAGGATTAGAGAGGAAGAGTGAGGGGTGTGAAGAAGAGGAGGGAGAGATTTCTGGAGACACATAGCAATGAGGATGACGGTGTCAGAGAGATCCATGGAGGTGGCGAAGACCACCCCCTGAGATCTCGTCACTGAAGAAGACATGTTCAAAAGGGAAGAAGAGAAGTTGTAGGTGAATGTGGTGGGGTGTTTCATGCATACGGTTGCATCAAACTTCTAAGAGCCATTGATTTAATTGATAGCATAAGATAATGACAAGTGTGCACGCATACTAGGTGCTTGAAGTTGCTCCACATATTGAATCCAAATCTGTATAGCCCTTGCCCTTCTATGGGACCAATGCATGTTTATGAAGCTATATATAAACTAGGGATAATACAACTTTTTAGTTCTTAAACTTTTTTCAATTATTGATTTAATTCTTAAATTTTAATCCAATACAATTCAATCTTTATAATTTATTGAGTTAAAAACTTATAGGGATTGAATGATACCACATCAAAAAATATAAGGAATGAATTATTTTAAATTAAAAAATTATTGAATTGTTTCAAAATCAAAATTCAGGAATTGAATCAATAATTGAGAATAAATTCAAAGACAAAAAAAATTATATTTTCACAATAAACTATTTAGTTACATGAAAAAGGTTTTCTTTTTCTTTTTAAAACTAAGATTTACATTAAGATTTTTTTTATTTGCATTAATATTTAATTCCTTAAATTGTAACGCATTTAATTCATACGTAAATAACATCATAACAATTAATCATTATGTTGACGAGATGCTTTTAAAAGTCATGAACGTTGTCTATCCATAATTAGTCTTGCAATTACTACATCAATTATGTATGCATCTCTGTTTTGGTGAACAATTATGTATCCATCTCTACTATATATACTAGGTGCTCTTTGAATTAAATGTTAATTAATTCTTCAATTGTTATCTCATCCTTTTTATCATATTGAAAACCCTAATTATTGCATGAAACTAAAAGCTCCGTACACCTTTTAAAGTTATGTGTGTAATTCTAAGTTAACGGACTTTGCCTGAATGTGAATTAAATTGTACTAACATACTTACTAGCTACGTACCTCATGCACAGAAAACACCAAATTTAACGATCGCGCTTTGCTTCTAACTTTATTATTATTTCTTGGGCAAAAATTTGCTTCTAACTTTATTTGTAGACTGAGGCAGAAAGGATTGGTAATACACTAAAGATATTGTTAAGTGGGGGTAAAAAATTAAACTGGATGAAAATAATTATAATTAAAGGTTCTCCTTGTGATTCTTTTTTCCCCTAACTTCCTTACTACATATTTTTCAAGTCTGTAAAACAAAATAACATATATAGTAGAAAATTAATTTAATGACTATGTTTGGGGCGGATTCTTAGAGAATGGAAAGAGAGACGCAAATTCTCTGACCACACAGTTTCACATGATGAAATTCCATCCCTCTTCCATTCTATCGCCGTAACTTCAAAATACTAATTGCGCATTTTTCAGTTTGCCTTTTTATCATTTCATCATTGTGCATACAAACTGAAACCACCTTCTAATTTAATAAATTGGTTAATAAATTGAGAACATTATTCTTTGACCAAAAATTGATAAAAATATTTCAACTGTAATTCTTACAAATTACAAATACCGTATTTGTTGACAAAGACAACTAACATGTAATTTAGTTGATAGTTGCCTGGCAACAACAAATATCAGCTTACAAGCTATTGAATGTTCAGCTTCCTGTGATAAAGCAAGAATTCCTTGCAATTTGTTATAACCATTTTCACCTTTTGAGGGGGGGGGGGGGGGGGAACTAATTACAGTTATCTTCTAGGCGAAAAAAAGAACCGAAAAATTTAACATGGATCAGCAGGACGAATCTCTGAGAAACTTGATCTAGAGAGCCGTCCAATCGCTTTCAAGAGAGGGAGGGGTCTCAGCAGCGCGTGTGCCTTCAGGCTATAGCTTCTTTGAAAATAAAGACGTTTTACTGTCAAAGAAATTTGAAAATGATTGTCGAATTGCGTTCTCTTCATTGCTTATCTTATTTTTTGAGATTGGCCTTCTTAAAAACTTTTCTTTGCCACCAAACTTAACGCTAAGCCTCTTAAACCGATCCTTGAGGTCACCGGCAGTGCTAGCTGGTTCTTTGACCTGCTTCATCACCCTCAGTGCTTCCTCAGGATTCAGTAACATTGCCTCCACGGATTCATATACCTGTAACAGCAATTGGAACGTTAAATATTCTTCTGATAAAATCAAAAAAACAAATATTCAACAATTCCTCAGATAACCTTTGGCCATAAGAAAATGTCCATATAATCAGTATTTTTCGCGGTTCATATATCAGCGAATCATTTTACATCCCCGTGTACTCTCATAGGGGGAGCCATCTTCAATAGGACGACTCAGAGACACGGAAAATCAAACAATCCTGGAAGGTAGGGTCGGTCATAGGGAACGTTCTTCGAATGTTTGTTACGAAGTTATTTCTAATTAAAAAAGGGAGAATTACAATCCGGTTTCAAATAAGAAAATTAATAATTTTTTCAGTCCATTTACAAGTCAAACTTCTATATTTACATGTTAAACTTCAATATTTACAAGTGAACAGGGCATGGAAGTAATTAATTTTTTTAAACGGGAACCTATAAGTAATTCTCCCTAAAAACAAAAAATCCAAAGTAGAAGAATCAATTAATCCAAGGCTGATTTGTAAAAGAATTCCACGTCATGTATTTGTTTGAAAACTCGTAGCAAAAAATCTAAAATTGCAGCTTAGTTTGTCCATCATTTTTCCATCCTTATAGGTGAAGCTATCTTCAACAGAATGAGTCTCAGACCAAGCTTAATCAAGAAGTCCTTAGGACGTAGAGTTGATTAGAGCTAACTGTGAAAATCCTAAACAATTTTGATTGATCCAAGAGTTTCTGTTTTCCCAGACTACCCCACATATAACATTGACTTGAAAAATTTAATGAAAAAAATAAAATTTTACTTCATTTAGGAGCAAACCAGTTCTAGTAACAGCACAAAAGATTAAGGAAGCAACTACTAAAACTCCATAAATTAGAAACTTAGTCCGCTAGCGCAAACCTGGCAAAGGTCATCAATTTTCTCATTCCAATCGTTGCCTTGACAGGTGACTAGAATGTAGTCCTTGCAGTCGGAGAACACCTTTGAGAAGTCACTGTTTCCTGATAGGACAGGTTCAGCAATGGCAAATCCTAAACCAAGCTGTAGTTAATACAAAATCTTCGGATTAGTCATAACTATAAAACATACAATGGCGTATACTGTATATGAGCAGAAATTTTTATTGCAGCCTTTCACTGAAATCCAGTCCACTTTTTAAAAGAAAAACATCTGGGAGAACTTTAATCCGGATGATATATCTGATTGCAGGATCATTTATGTAGGAAAGGCTTTTGTTTACCAGTTCCATGCAGTTAAAGCTCGATGGACATTTTGTGAACAGATGTGCAAACATGCCCCATTGACATACCAGTCTTACTGTTCTAAGTTCTAGCTTTAAAGCTCACATGCATGCCAAAATAACCACATACTCTCTCCTTCAATGCTACAACCGGATATTAGGGTAAATGTGTTTAACTCTTAATTAGCACCCTCATCAGCCTAAGCCTACAAATGTACAAATCTGGCATCGGATTTGTGAGTTGGGAAAAAAAAAACAAATAACTCACCAGGGAAATAAACAGTTGTTCAAAAAGCTCAGAAGGCTGGATATCCTCAAAAGCATTCAGGATGCCCTCCCTACAAATTAATGTCAAAAGCCATTTAAATGAGATGAGTTAAAGAAAAAAAAATTGTTAGTAATACCAAGTTTGGTTATCTAATATTTAAACTCACACTGCCAAATCCTCATCAAATAGAGGTGCCTGTTTAACAGCTGGCACTGGTTTAGCTGCTTCCCACAATTCACGCCACAAATTACCTGCCATTAACATCTAATGAAGTTCAGAGAAGGTTTATGAAATGACAGGAGTATAAAGTAACCGTAATTGCTAATGCCTTTTGTATAAAGCCAAGATAGATTATCTTAACAGATGCTAAAGGTCCATTGAAATAAACAATAGACCACGAAATTGTGTTGCAGAAATTAAATGATGGGGCAAACTATACTACACCTTCTTTTTGCATCCGCAGACTTAGAGAACCTCTGTTAGACAATGAGTCACTACTATCCAAACATTCTTGAGCCTCCGCACTTGGCTCCCTTTCTTTCCAATCAGGAGGAGAATACCATCTCACAAAATCTTCCATAATACAGCCCGGATTTGCGGCCTAAAAAATGATATTAAGTAGAACTTACTCAGATAGGATATTCAACACATTCAAAATAGTTACGAGCATTCAGAGTATTGGCAAGAAAAAGTCCTATTCAAGGGCGAACTTGACCTTGAAAGCCTGCATATCAGAGAGGAGTTGAGAACATGCAGCACCAACACTGACCACAAAACAATAGAAAAAATGTCAAGCACTGCCAAATTGATACCAATCACGAGAAGAAAAGCTATTGCATCATAACTACAATGAAATCTAAGTTAGCATTTGTTTACTAGTCAAACGAGCTCAAAATGAAACTTGTCCATATTTTAAGAGACAGCACATGATCATTGATAAATTATAAAATAACATTTTCATGCCAAAAATTTGTCAATATGATCTGTTGATGAACTACTCCCAGCAGTTCATTTCTTACAACCAACAGAAAAACATACAAAAGTGGACATCTACTGGTTGAGATTTTGGTTTTATTGCTTAAAATATAAGGCAAACATAAACAAGCCAAATTCCTTCACGAGACTTCTTGATCATATCATTCTGTGTCCATAATAACTGATTTTTGTTGCTTTTGTAAGGTTACAAAAATAAGGGAGTTTTGAGATGCATTAAACATTAGGGAACAAAAAAGAAAGGACAACACAATCAATATTGGAAAAGAAATATTTGGAGCTAGCTCCTTCTAAAGCATGCAAACTAGATCCCTTTAAATCCTAATGCACTAGACATCACCATCAAAGAATGCTACATCACAGAAGACAGAATAAATGCATAAATTCTATGCATTCAATCCAATTGCATATTCTAAATTAGCCTACTCTCAAATTATTATAAACTAAAAATTTCAAGTCACATTTACTAAACCACAACAGCTGACTGATCTATAAAAACATCATCATACGATTACGATTCACCACTCGATCAAGAGAACATAATGCAACTTTGTAATGCTTTTCTCAATCATGGAGGGAGATTTATATATATATATGTCAAGCTTACAGCAAAAAGAGGGATAAACATAAAGAATCATATGATACCAAACATCATCAACATTTGAGGAAATTTCTATCCATTTTGAGCCAAGTCTTCTTATAAGGAAAGGGTAATGATGAAGTCATTCTAAGAAAAGTCTTATGGCCCAATAAATGAATATACAAATACAGAGCGAGAGAGAGAGAGAGAGAGAGAGAGAGAACTCAGTTAACAGTTACTGAATAATTAATTTATTTGTAGTTAAATAGACAGTGCCGACCAATTACTGCCTCCAAACAAAGCAAACAAAAATTTCATCAAATAGACAATAAATAACTCCCAGCCATTAGTTCAACCCGAAAGCAAGATGAATTTGCATATTTATCAGAAAATGTGTGTGACTTACATCAGTGGATGGAGCTGAACAACTAAGGGGGTTGTTCCCAATTATATATACATACACAGAAATACGAACATATAGATAAGTAAAATAAACAAAAATAACTTTAGATCTCAAGTTAACTAACAGATTAAATGTATCTCAAATATTGGACAGACCTTCTTGTCTGCAGCAGAAACTCCTCTGTTTCTTCAATCAGATCTTCTGTAAGCAGGGGTCCTTCCTACATGTAAAAGTCTCAGGAATCTCAGTAATAGGAGCAAGTTTAAGTAGTACTGTTCTGAACATGTAGTGATCAAACCTGGGTAACAGGAGAATAAACAGGCTCGCCAGTTTCCAACAATACCAGATCTCCAGCAGGACACTCAGCGCCAAGTCGAGCAACAAACTGCCCAGTACTTAATCTAGCATACTGGTCTGGACTTGAAGTAATGCTCTCACTATAACCAACTAACTCATCAATATTTGAACCAGCTTTTAGTAACACACAGTCCATAGATTCAGTGGCAGTAACACGGTGCCTTTTCCGGGAGATACAACAATTTATTACTTGTAGTTGTTGATGTAGGAGGCATGACTTCAAATCTGGAATCTCATTCAAGGGGACTCTAGGTAAATATTGCTCCTCAGACCAAAGTTTTCTCAGCTGCATAAGTTACATATCACATAAATATATATCAAAACATTCTTTTTCATTCGGAAATAAATAAGGAATTTCAGGTAGAAAGCTGGTAGCATAACTGCATCCTATTTCAATTCAAGTCAAAAATTCTCAACCAGGTCCAGAAGTTCCTATAGGAAACCTTTCTTTCATTTTCACGGACAAGGAGGTATATATAAAAACAAAAGGTAAACAACAAAACAAGTTAAATAACATTGAAAAGTTTTAGAAGGAAGTCTCAGATGCCCACAATATATTTTATATCCTCACTTCTTTAGTACCAGGAAGGAAGGAAAGAAGGAAGGAAGGAAGGGAATAGATGGAAGCAAACTTTATTAGACCTAAGTCAAACGGGTAATAAGTTTAGCAAATCACAAGAAAAATACTACTCCCTTCCATAGGATACTCCAACCCAACCGTTATCTATGACCAGTTTTTTAACAGGAAATTAATTATATTGCTCAGAATGGCATCATGTGGTCTTGCATGAAGATGCTTATCTGCTTGAGATGATGGGTTCCATTATAAGGTATTTTTGTAAAGCCTCAAAGGAACATGTACTTAATGCAAAATCCAACAGCTTACAAATAAGAGAAAATGACCAAGAGGGTAAACTAAATCTTCAGTCCTAGATTGATATCAATTTTTCATAAAAAAATAGGAAATGAGCAATTTTAGTTAAACATACTTCAACAACAACTTTGCACCAAAACAGAGCCATTTCTCGAAGGTTCTTAAAGTTTCCAATGACTTCAGCAAGCTTGACAATGAGGCTTTCAGGAGGAGCACCATGAATATCTCTTGGAAAGGATGATACGTCAGTTTCCTCAGAACCATAGCTGATCTTCCTTTCAAAAAATCCCCCCTCTGCAAATAACTTGCAAGAATTACAATAGAAGCGAAAGATCATACAGGACAATGCATTAAAAAAAATGACATATACTGGTAGTTCTGCTTAGTAATTAGCCTACCCAAGGATATCACTGGTGCCTAGTGGTTAATTGAGCTGTCTTCGCTAAGATCTTTCTATGTTGGCCCCTTGCCTACCCCTTTTGGATCCTAAGCATTCCATTGGCACCCTTACCAGTATTCATGGACTTGGAGTAGACTATTTTTACTACCATCTTTTGTTTATCAAACAAATATATAAATAAGAGAGAGTATATCACTGGTGTAATTTTATCATCAGCAAGGAACCTTAAAATTCACATGCCTGGATCAAATAGAGAATTAATCAAACAAAGAACTTTCTCATCATCACTGAAGTTGAGTCTGTCCTCCTTTTCACGCAAAACTAATGCCTTCACTGCAGAGAGCCTTAAGCCTGCCCTATCATGAACAGGTGAAGAACCTCCTCTTGAAGCTATAAAATCTTTCATTGACTTTGTTTTGCCTCCAGCCCTGGACAAAAGGTCCAAATATTTAAGAGGATAGGCTAGTTGCATCATATTCTGAAAACCCTCATGAATGACTAAAACAAACCTCCTAAAACTTTATGCTACTATTGGTTTAGCATTTATGATATGATAAATAACAATTGAATACAATTTATTGCAGGATACCACGAAGGATGCATCTGGCTATTGAAAATTCCAAACACAAAAGGACCATTCAATTGAATAAAAAAATTCCAACAAAACCCTCATCCCACTTAGAAAAGGAATGCAATAATAAAGAACCTTTCAATGGTTTATAGAGAAAGAAGCAGCAAAATGAGGAAAGGTAGGCAAAAGAATTGCAAACAAGTGTAACTTACTCAACAGCTATAGCCAGTTGCTTCAGCACAGATGATGGAGGAATGGAATCTTTAATAGCAAATGGTGGACAAAAGGGATCTTTAGTGGCAGCTATTAAGCTTTCAACTGAGGGAACTGCTTCTGAAACCTTAAGAAATTGTTTTATCGTAAATCAGTAAAGAAATGCATTTGTGTAACAATGAATGAGAAATTGTCAATAACTTATCAATCCTTTTGCTGGAAGACTTCTCAAGCATTCAACCTTGAGATTAACAACTAGTTTAATAAAAACCACGCTGCATTGATATTCAGTTGTATCTTCTTATTAGTCAAAGTAGAGGGCACAATGCCACTATCTGAGACAATATGTTGAATATATCATGTTCATAGTCAGTGTACATAATAAGATTTTCCTAATATATCAATTGCACACAGTAGGAAGACAAAATACTTGAACTAGAATGTTTCAAACCTTCTTACCTTGGCCTCGGGATCATATTTCTTATTGATGACGTCCAAATTTTCTTCATAAAATGGAACAGTCAGGGCTACGCCCCTGAGTTTATCCGTCTCTTCAATTTCTTTTCTCCCTATTCGAATGTTCTTAATCCTATCTTGCAAATCCTGCTTTATTCCTATATACGCAGGCCTCCACTTCAGATGCCTCAATTCACTGTGAATCTGCAGCATCCCAGGAAAAAAATTTAGGAAGTAATGAGCTTCCATTTTTGGATCTATGCTATTTAGTTAGAATCGATACATAACAATGACACAAAAGATAATTAACAAATAAACTTGTAATGGGTTTGTCGAAGCCAAGAGGCATTTCAGAGTTCAGAGTATACTTTTCTTCTCTTGTAAAGTTACAAGCATAGGCAAATGGGAGATTTTAAGCCAAAAGAAAAAAAGAAAAATTGCAAATAATCACGAACAAAATTCAGAAGTTTTCTTCATGCTTCGTGTGGATGCCGAGTTAATTTTCAGAGGGCAACCATAGCAGAAGACAGTGAGTTAAGGATTAAAATTTAAAATAAAAAACAGCTTATTATAATCACAAATTGAACTGCGACACATCGAAGCTCGATTAGCTAATCTAGTTTTTTTTCCCCCTTATAGTTTTCTTCAGTGAAAACCTAACAAAACTATAAAAAAAAAATTATGAAACAAATAGTTATACTTTTAGCTGGTAATCAAAATACAGTCATCAGAAGCGAATAAGTTGACGCCAGAGGAACCACAATCACTCCGATTGCCATTACCTTTGACTCGCCGTCGTTCTGAGTAGAATAATCTCCTGGATTCCTAGTCAATGCATCGGGCGATTCTTTGTCAGGACCTTCAGTGATGAACAATTGCGTTAATACATAATGCACATTCAAATAAAAAAATCCAAATTCCATTAAGAACAAAAACACAAACATTACACATGTACATGCCAAACAAAATATGATCTGAATTCATATTAGACGGAGCATGAAACACATGCACAAAACATGAGAAATCATGGAAATAGAAAAGAGCATGTGGCAGAAGAACCTCGCTCGGATTTCAAGTCCACAAGAACCTGCTCCGCTTTCGCAGCCGCAGAATGGAAAGCTGACTTTGCTTTAGAGACAAAGGAGAGCTCCACCATTTTCCTATGCTTGTGATGCGCAGGAAAAAAGCAGGCTCGGATGTTCTCTCTGTCAAGAGTACAGTAAGACTAGTAGGAAATGAAATGTAATAAAAGGAGCGAGAGACCATAGCTAATGGACGGCGCTGTGCTGTATTTGTAGCGTGACAGCAAAGAACGCGTCAGAGAAGAGGAAGACGACGACCGAGTAATACTGACGGTGCTAACGATGGAGAAATTCGTCAGAAAGGGAAACTGGGCGGAGATCAAATCCACCATACTGCGCGCTTCGGTTAAAGTTTGAACGCGACGACGATTTCTTCTGTATTTTTTTTTTTTGGGCCAACTCTTCTGTATTTTTTTTTTGTTTAATCTCGTCATTTATTAATTTATTTATTTATATTGCTGTCACATTTGAGTGTGTTAATGGTAATATATACTCTATCAAAAATATAAAACTTTTTTTAAAGTAAGGTGTTCAAAAATGTAAAGTGAGTTTTTTTAATGTTAAAAAATATAAATTATTTTTAATTATTAAAGGTGTAATTATTTCTTTTATTTTAAAAATATTTTTATTTATTTTAAAATGAAATACCCTATTTTAATATTTTGACAAATTTTAAAGATCCTGTGTTCAAAAAAGTTAAAATATCCAGCTCAAATTTCCAAGGATTATTAGGATAGAAATCAGTCAAATCGCAAAATTTAACAACGGGCACAATGGATCTTCAGCTATATAAGGGATATAAACTTTGAATTATTATTTTCAAAAATGATAACTCCACCAAAAGCAAGAGGGAACACGTTTCCTGTATTTCATTCTGTTCTTGAGTTCTGACAAAGTAAATACGAAATAGTACTAACAAATACTTTTAAGTGATGAATACATTTTTGTGTTATTCAAATACATAAGTATTTAATAATGACTGAATTTTGAATTTAAAAGTAGAGAAATTAATTATATAAATAATAGATTTAAGAATATTTTGTTCAAAATGAATATAATTTTGTCATATTATTACAATTGAGCAATCAGCAAGGGGAAAAGGGGAGAGACTGTGCATTCCAGATTATTTTAGTTATTTAAAAGATTAAGACTGTGCATTCCAGATTGTCAACAATAAAGATTATCTCTTCCATATTATTGAAAATTGTAAAGAAAATATTTTATTTATTTAAAAAATGTATTGAATTCACATAAACCTGTCAATTAGAGTCGAATCTATCGAGCCAGCCCTTTTAAATCCAAAAATAATTAAGACCAAACCGTTATTTTGAAAGAAAAAAATGATAATTCGAGCTTAAAAGGGTCAACCCCAAGCCCTTTCAAGCCCTTTTATTATTTTTTAAAAAAATTATAATATAAAAAATAAAAAATTAAATATGCAACTCAAAGAAATAAACATATTAAATGTACTCATCCATTCCTCATTCATTTATTAAGATTTGGCTGATAATGTTAGCCAAGTCTAATTTTTATTGGTATTAATTTTGATGTTATTATTTGATGTTAAACCTAAATGTTTAAATTTTCTTTATTGTTGTGGTGTAAATTGATTTAAATTTATTTTCTTAAACTTAATTTTATGTATAATGAATTTTTTTATGATTATAAATATATTTTTTATAATTTTAAATTAAAAAATAAAAAAATAGGACCAGCCCTTAGCCTTAAGAATTAAGGTCAAGCCTTGTAAAAAAAAAACTCTGACATATAATTGAGCTTATTAGGACCAGCCCATTTAAGCCTTAACCCTTTAAGGGCTAACTCTTTACAGTTGGGTTAGCCCTAATTGACAGCTTTAAATTTATGTGACATCCATATTCTAAATATAAAATATATGTTTATATTTTATACAGGAAATGATACAATTATCATACATGCACTAGTTGAAGCTTGAAAACGTGTACAATTGTTCTATATAATTGTTTTATTTTATACTTCCTTCATTAAAAAATATAAGGTATTATTAACTAAATTTTACTTCTTAACAAAGTAGTTATTTTGTCTTCAAATTAACCCTATCTTTTTATATTTACTTTCATTTAATAAAATGCTTCACTCTAAAATAAATATAAAGTAATTTATTTAATAGAAATATTTTTTTAAAAAAAGATAATAATTATATATTAAAAGATTAAAAATATCTTATATTTTTAAATATTTAATTTTTTAAAAAATTTTTTGTATTTTTGAATGAATATAATACATTAGAGCATGGTAACACGCACGTATGAAGTTTTTCCCCCCATTTTCTACATTAAGATTTAAGATTATTTTAGCAAAAGACATCGGCAGGATGTTTTGCGCACATGCACACAAAAAATGAAGGATGAATGGCATGACAAGTATTTATAAATAATTTTATTCATGATGCATGGAAACTCCTTCTTACAATAAAATTAATTAAAAAAATTAAATAATAATTTAATTTCTAAACTATAAGCCTGAATGGCATAGCAATACAACTCTTGTCATTAACAAAAGTGAATTTTGAATGTTAATTAACCAAAAAATAATAAAAAAGGACTTACAAAATTATAAAAAGGGACTAAGAAAATTTTCTCAACCCCTTTCTATGTTTGTTGGATTCTTATTTTGTAATTTTTGAGTCTTTCCTGTAATTTTTTGGTTTTTTATATTATTTTCTGAGATGCCTCTTTATTAATGATAAGGTAGTGTACTGTTTTCAAAATTTGAGAAAAAATATTACGCACAAAATGAGTTCTAGGTCATAGACACTCATCAATCCATAGTTTAATCCCAAAAAAAAAATTAATAAATTGAATCTATAACAGTCAATGTTATTTTAATTTCAATTAAGTTATCGATTCTACAATTCAGTGCAACGTAAAGGAATACTAGTGAAAAAAAAAAAAACAACAACAAATTGATAGTAGAACCCTCATAACCGGAAGATATACAAAGATTGAATTACCCTTCGTGGAATTTTTTTTTTTTTTTATGCATTACCCTTCGTGGATATTAGCCAATATATTGCCGGTGGAGGATATTCCTGACCACGATTAAAAAAATAAATTGCATTAAACAAAACTAAATCAACTAATAGAACCTGTGAAAGGATACTGACTTTGTCTTCGTGAATAGGCTTTTCTGTTTCTCCCACACACACACACACACACACACACACACACACATATATAAATGCTATATTCGTTATTATCGGATGAAGATGAGCGAACCTACCTGACTTTAGTGTTCTCCGTCCACAAGTAACGCAAGACACTTTAATTTTACTCATTCATATCAACACAACATTTCTTATATTGACGTGGGGCTTCCATACTTGGTCCTACATTGGAGAAGGTCATGTTTTAGTTGTTTTACTACAACGTGTTATTGTTCCTCGTTGAATTTTTCTATCTCACCTTTCCATGATAATTATTAAAACAATTATCATGTGTCTATTTGTTTTTATTTATAAGTAAAACTATAAATTTCAAGAAGCATTTATCACAATATTTCCAAATTGTCTCACATAAAAGTCAAAATATATTTTTATTATAAAAATTTGTTTCTTTAATACAGGGATAATTTAGTTCAAAATTTTTAATTTTAGACTTGATTATTATATTTGATCAACTTTTTTAAATTGTGTAAATTAATTATTTTCTTTTCTTTTGGAAATTGGATAGAGTATATACAAGTATTCTTTTATTGCTAACAATAATGTTCAATGCCCATTAAATGGAAACACTTTTTCTTGCAAGAATTAAAATCTTGATTCTTATGAAAAATTAATTTATTTTGAAAGATTTAACCCTGTATATCTTCCCATGCTTTTTAATTTAGATCTTCTAATTTTTCCCAAAAAAAATGTGTATACCGTATATTAGAGAAGTAAAAGATAATTAGCACAGAATCATATGCATTTATACATGCTTATTATATATTATTTTAAAAAATACATAAACACAAAAGGATAAAAAATGAACTTTAGATACATTGATTTTGTCTTAATTTTTAAAACATTTAGGACAATATTGTGTGATCTAGTAGCTCATTGACATTGATGTTTGGTTATCTTTGACATAGTAATAAATTGTGGGGGCAGGAACTCAAAACTTTGACACTATCTTGTTTATTATTTTATATTGATGATTATGCTCAAAGTCAATAAATAACGAGCCAACCTGGCTTTTCTGGAGTGACTCCTGTATCTGCAAATATGCGTGATACGTTCCCGACCAGTGTCGATGTAATGTAATGTAATGTTAGTACGATTAATAATAAATATACTAGCTTGCAGTATATATATATATATATATATATATATAGTAAGTCGTGTAACTCAGACGAATAATACACTTAATATTTAATTTCATCCTCTTCCAATGCATGGAAAGATATGGTTAATTAATAAATTAATAATTTTTTTTGAAAATTGCGGCATGCACGAGTGCGTATATATATGGTTAGTAAATAATGTAATTTAGTAATGTTTTTAATTAATGTTTTGTGCATGTGTATATTTGCCCTGTGTCAGAAATGAATGGAACGTTTTTGTTCATGTCATGTGATCAATTGATCATAAGTTCATAGCTCTTAATACTTATATTTTATGCTTCTTTTAAATTTAAGATTATTTGGATGAAATAAGCACGCAATTCTAGCATCAATAATCTTGTTTATGAGTATGATGATTTCATAATTAGTTTAAATTATTCATACGTAGTTAGGAGAATATATGTATTGTAACCTTAGGAATAACTTTAACATACTTATTTAACAAGATATATTTTGAGGTTTGAACTCGAGATCCTGTAATAAATTAATTCAATTTTTTTAACTAGTTAAAACCAATCATGCTTTCTTATAAATTTATAAACAATGTTTCCGTGCAAGTTTCACGTTGTATATTATTATAATAAAATAAGTATAGAAATGAACGAGATTATAAAATATTAGATGGTCCTGTCTTATTTTTATTGCATCATCGTCTTATACTTTTGTTAAAATTACAAACAAATAAAGAATTTCTTATGCTTTAAGAAGTTCACAAAAGAAGTATACAATTGAAAGCTTCTCCCCAGCAATAAAAGTGTGCTTAATTGAGAATTAAGAAAAGCCATTTCTTGAAGGCATTCATCATAAAGCCAACAATAATGCAACAGAAAAATATAAACCCAAAAATATATAAAATACTTAATTCATAAGATTACAAGACTTAATGTTCGCTGGCGCACAAAAAAAAAAGGACTTCAAGTTCAAGCCGAAAAATAAATTTATTGTACGAGCTAAGTAAGCTAAAGCTTATG